AGAGAGAGAGAGAGAGAGAGAGAGAGAGAGAGAGAGAGAGAGAATTAATTAAATTTTAGTTTTTGGTGGACACAACATCTTTATTTTATTTTTATGTGGTGCTGAGGATCCCACCCAGCGCCCCCAGGTGAGCGCGGTACCACTTGAGCCACATCCCCAGCCCAACCACTCTCTGTCTTTTGATCAGAGCAGTTGGTTCATTTGCATATAAGATAAATAATGATAAGGAAGGACTTCACTTCTTTGAGCTATTTGTTTTCTACCTGCCTTACAGCTTTGTTTCCCCATTTTCTGCACTACTGTCTTGCTTTTTGTTATTTTTTGTAGTGAAATGTTTTAAATCTTTTTTACTTCCTTTTATTTATATATGTGTATTCTGTAGGCACTTTCTTGGTGGTGTCTATGGGGATTACATGGAACATCCTAATATTGTAACAATCCAGTATGAACTTTTACCATCTTAATTCCTATAAGCTTTACCCTCACACTCTTGGKGTTATTGATGGTACAGCATTGCGTCTTTATATGTAGTATTTTCTAGAACATAAACTAATATTTTGATGCATTAACCTCTTAAATAATGCAGAAAAAAATGTGAAGTTACAAATCAAATTAATAATACTAGCTTTTTTAATATTTATTTTTTAGTTGTAACTGGACACAATATCTTTATTTTATTTATTTATTTTTATGTGGTGCTGARGATAGAACCCAGGGCCTTGYACATGCTAGGCAAGTGCTCTACCGCTGAGCCACAGTCCCAGCCCCATAAGACTAACTTTGAAACGAATAATAGTTTTTTAAAAATGTATTGGTCTCTTAAGTCATGTGGAGCATAGGAAGTGGAGTTGCAAACCAAGGATAAACTAATAATTTAATAGATGTTCATGTAAGTACATTCACTGAGATCTTTATTTCTTCCCATTGCTTTGAGTTTCTGTCTAGTGTCCTTTCATTTCAGCCTACAGGACTCCCTGTAGCATTCCTTGCAGGGCAGATCTACTGGTAATGAACTCCCCCAGTTTTTGTTAGAGAATGTCTTAATTGTTCCTTCACTTTTGAAGGACGGTWTTGCTAGTCTTAGGAGTCTTGGTTGATATCCTTCCTTCTTTTAGCACTTTGAATACATTAGTCTGCTGCCTTTTGGCCTTCAAAATTTCTGATGAGAAATCTGTTGGTATTCTTCTTGGGGATGCCTTGTAGGTAATAAGTTGCTTCCCTCCTGCTGTTTTCAAGATTCTTTGTCTATCTTTCAACAGTTTGCTTATAACGTGTTTTGGAGTGAGGTCTTTTGGGGTTCATTTCTCTTGGAGTCGCTGAGATTCTGGAATGTTTATATTCATATCTTTCATCAAGTTTGGGAAATTTTCAGCCGTTATTTATTTTGGATAATCTCTTTCCCCCTTTCTTTCTCTCCTCTCCTTTGGAACCACCATAATGTATAGGTTGGTCCACGTGATGGTGTCCTCAGCTTTTTCTTCAATCTTTCTTTTTCTGTTCCTCTGACTCAATATTTTCAGTTGTTCTGTATGTTCAGGTCCACTAATTGTTTCTTCTGCCTGCTCAAATCTGCTATTGAATCCCTCTAGTCAATTCTTCATTCGTTATTGTTATTATTCCGCTGAAGAATTTCTTTTTGGCTTCTTTTTGGGTTTACTGTCTCTTTATTGTTATTTCCATTTGTTAATATATATGTAATGTCTCTCTTTAGTTCTTCAAGCGTCTTTAAGACAGTGGTTTTAAAGTCTTTGTGTAGCCAGATTGCCTTCTGGCCTTTCGCAGAGATGGTGTGTGTGTGTGTGTGTGTGTGTGTGTGTGTGTGTGAGATATATACATATATATGCATATACATATATATATATATTTTTTTTTCCTTTGAATGAGCCATATTTCCCTGTTTCTTTGTGTGTCTTGTGATTTCGATATTTCTGTTGGAAACTGGACTTACAAATGTAATCTAATAATCTGGAAATCAGATTATTCTCTCTGCTAGGGCTTGTTGATTGTTTTTGTTTTTGATTGCTGTAGGCTGTATCTGTGCTGCTTATCAGACTGAGGTCTAAACTTAAGGGCTTCTGAGATCTTTTTTAAAACCCTCGTCTTTCTCTGGGTATGCATAGTGACTTTCTAAATTACCCTATGTAGGTTGTTGCTTTTGAATATCCTAGAACTTAAAGGTTTGGTTGCCAAAAAGGATAAAAAAGAAAAGTGAAGGAGAATTTTAAAAAGGAAAAAAAAAGGACACAAAAAGCATTGGGACTTTTCATCATCTGGAGGGGGACAGCTGTASTGGGAGTAGGGTAAAGGAGTAGTTGCCTCGCTCCATGCATCTGTGCTTCTAAGACCAGAAGCAGCAACCAGTAATTAAAACACATATCCCCAAATTTTGTAGGACATAGTCCCTKTGGTGCCCAGCCTGGCTTCCTGAAGCTGCCTGGAAGATGCTCAGGACCACTTGCATTCTTGCCTGTCCCTGAGCTGGGGCTGGGTAGTCAGTACCTTGCTGTGAGCTGAAATTGACTAGAACCATCAACAATTTACTCTGCAAGCCTTTTCCTGGAAGTCACCATCCTTTTTGTAGACTCCAGAGTATCCAGATAATCACAATAGATTTTTGGGTGTAATTGTCCACGTGGGGAGATAGATTCCTGCTGCTCTCCACTCTCCTGTTCATTCTGTAGATTTTTAAAAACTGTGATTTGAAGCTTATATTAGATGCATACACATAACTTTATGAGCTTTATCCCTTCTTCATGAACTGGCCCCTTTTATGATTATGAAATGTCTCATCATCCCTGGCAGTATTTGTTGTTCTGAAAGCCAGTGTGTTTGATATCGATATAAATGTTGCAGCTTTCTTTTGATTAGTGTTTACGTAGATGTCTTTTTCCATTCTTTTATTTTAGTTTTAGAATTTATACTTCTTTTTAGCTTTTCTTTCTTGCCTGGAAAGGTTTGCTATCTTGTCATTTATTACCAGAACATTTCATAGATCTCAATGTGTAATTCTAATACCTGCTGAGTTTTTTGTAACAGCAAGCAATAAATTTGGTTGAACCAAAACTGTAAATTCTATTTTTGGGGGACAGCTTCGTTCTCAATTCAGTCCTTTTAGCCTCAGCTGTTTTGCTTGGGGCTTGCTCTATGCATGCATGCTTCAGGGGTCAGCCCAAGATTTGGCCCCAGTTTATACACACAATCTAGGCCTCCTTTTCTTTGCAGCTCCTCTTTTTTCTGCCCCTTCCCACTTTCCATTGATGGTAATGGCTCAGAACTCTCTTATGCTCCTTCAGGTAAAAATGATGATGCGTTTTCTTTCTTATATGCTAGCTTTACACCTTTTTCTAAAAGCCAGTGTAGTGTGTGTGTGTGTGTGTGTGTGTGTGTGTGTGTGTACATTGGTGATGGGGCTACATGGTGTGTTGTGGGTAGGATGAGCAAGGGAAGAAAGGGTATGGGAATGACAAGGGGCAGTGGGCAGAGGTGACTGAATTGATATGATGGGGAGACAGAAGTGTTCAGAGGTGGCTCTTTTCTGTTCCCATCCCAACTTCCACTTTGATGTGGATTACTTTTGTCTACAGGACCCATGGGCTCAATGAGTTCTTATGCTCTCTACCAGAAGAATCAGGCCATGCACATGTGTAAAAGGAACGAGGCTCTTCAGTGGAGGCTTCTTCTTGACCCAGAAAGGAGACAGTGCTGATGAGAGAGTGAGGATGGCTAAAGCAAAATACAAGAGTTATAGAATTTTTAAAAAAATATTTATTTTTTAGTTGTAGTTGGACACAATACCTTTATTTTATTTATTTTTATATGGTGCTGAGGATCGAACCCAGGGCCTTGCACTTGCTAGGCAAGCACTCTACTGCTGAGCCACAATCCCAGCCCGAGTTGTAGAATTTTTATGGCGTCTGCAGTGTAGGCAGGGTCCCAGTCCCTTGATGCCATCACCTCTACAGGGTTTTAGCTGGGCCTGTCTCTTCTTCAACCTGCCCTTTTCATGCAGCACATGTCTCATTACCATCTTCCGTCTCACGTTGGGGTGTGCCATGCCAAAGAAGTAAAGGTGGCTGTGGGTAACCTTAGTGACTGTTCTGTGCATGCATTGGCCCCTCACCCCCTGATGTTGCTCCTTGTCATCTGGGAAAGTCCCTAATATTTTTTTTCAGGACAGGGAAGACTATTGTCTGGTCTCAGTGGGTTTGATTTTAGTGACCTTGTCTGGCTGTGGCTTCTTGGTATTACTGTTGACAACATGATGTCAGAAGGCTGAGCTGTCTTCCCAACCTCCCTTCTCCTGGTGAGTTATCTTAATTTTATGGCCTCAAAGATTGGTCCAATTTTTAACTCCTAATTTTCAGGTGCATCTGTTAACTGCATAAGGCTGAGAGCCTGCTTGGCTATCTCATCCCCCCCCCAATAAATTACTCCCTTAATTTTAAGAGGCTTCTGGTTTTTTATTGGGGGCAGGCGTAGTTTCCCTGACTCAGGATTAAACCAGAAGTGCACAGAAGACAGGTTCCTGCAGCCCTTGGGGGAAAGTGGGAGAACAGACCCTTCCAGGGCCTGCTGTGGTCACAGATTTCCATGTTTTGTTAGCTGTGAAACTAAGTGGCTAGGAAAACTGTCAAGGGAATTCAGTCATTATTAGGCAGTGAAGATATTTCAGGAAATGGTAGAAAGCCATTTTTCTGTCTTCTGACTCTTTACTGTTCATTTGATCAGTGAGGGAAAGTTGGCACAATGAGTTTTAGCTCATGTTTGCAGGTGGTTGCTCAGCTCTGTGAAAAATACGATGTTCTCTGTGAAGACTAAGAGTAATTTAAACAAAGGGGGGAATTGCTTCTTGATTGTACAGTCTTCCTTATTCCGACACTTTACAGATATTACATATGTTACAATAGTTTCTGAGTTCCATCTTGTTTTGGGTGTCACAGGGTTGCATTGTAGGAACTTTGAGAAAAGTTGTGTGTGTGTGTGTGTGTGTGTGTGTGAATAGTTTCTTTTTTTCAGTACTGGGGATTGGACTCAGGGGTGTTTTATCACTGAACAACATCCTAAAAGACCTAGACCTTTTTATTTTTTATTTTGAGATAGGGTCTCACTAAGTTGCCCACGTTGGCCTTGAACTTGTGATCCTCCTGAATTGCTGGAATTATAGGTGTGTGCCGCCACACCTGGCTGTGGTAGGCATTTTGAATGAATAATGCAATTCCCTGGCCATGTTTGTTTTCTAGGAATGTATCTATATAATCTGTTTTATAACCTTCAGTTAAGGTTTTTTTTTTTTTTTTTTTTTTTTTTTTTGTGTGTGTGTGTGTGTGTGTGGTGCTGGGGATTGAACCCAGTGCCTTGTGCATGCAAGGCAAGCACCCTACCTACTGAGCTATATTCCCAACCTTAACTGACCTTCAGTTAAATTTTATGAATGTATTTAAAGTATCTGAGTGTAGTTGCCTGAAATATTAATAGCATTTTAACAAAATGAGTTTGGACATTGCTAATATTTTAATTTATATAATTTTGTGACCGAAAAATCGATTAGCATGGTTCAGAGATTAAAAATAATAAAAATTAAACAGGTAAATTTTCACATTTGCCTCCCTTTTGTCCAGCTGATAATTCTCCCTTCCCCTGTAGGAAACCACTGTTGGTTGTCTGTCTCTGGGGAGGTATATGTGCACGTGTGCATGTGTTTGTGTGTATACATGCATACGTATGTATGTGCATGCACAGGGAAAGGAGACTTTTTCTACCATTTTGGTTCCTGGTGCTMATGTTAAATTCTAATAATGCGCATGTGCATCATTTGCCATTCATTTGTGTCTCTGAAGGCCTCCAGGGATTTTTAAGCATCCATAATCACATTACTGCATACAGCACTTTTGCTTTTTAACAAATTTGCATTAATGTGGTTTTACTGTTTTATGGAAGGAATTTATTTTCTGGAAATGGTCTAGTTCAATAGTTTCCTGTTGATAACTTGATTTTCTAGATGTAGCTAAAGATTTTTGTGATTGATTCTTCACCAGCTAAGTGACTAGCTCTGGATTTGCAATGTAAGAACTTGATCAGAAACAGCAACCCTGGTTGATCAAATAATTTTTTTTTCTGTCTTGCTTTCTCTTCATGAGAACTATTCTTGAAAATACATGTATTACTTCATTGTGTTTGCAATKTCATGTTTAGAGCTAATGGTAGTTGCTTTTTTTTTTTTTTTATGGTGCTGGGGATTGAACYGAGGGCCTTGTGCATGCAAGGCAAGCACTCTACCAACTGAACTATATCCCCAGCTCACTTTTAAATTTTGACATGTAATTTTTATCATGGCAGCTTACTTCATTCCAAGCAGTTTGTTTATTTTATTCTTTGTATTCTAGGCAATGCAAAGAAACAAGTTTCCAAGAAAAAAACTTCTGAGAAAAAAGGAAGACATCAGAGGGAATGTCCTCAGCATTCTCCTCTTGAGGACATTAAACAGCGGAAAGTATTAGACCTCAGACGATGGTACTGCTGTCATTACAATCTTTACTTTTCAATTTTTAAAATACATATTTTGGCAATAACTTTGGTATTATAAGTTAATAAAGCATATGTGATAAATATTTCTAGTTCTCAGATTATATCCAGGATTCATAAATATTCAAAGTGTACTACAAATTTTTGGAGTAGATTAATTATGAGCCATGCCCATATTTCCCAGACTCTCCTGGTTATTAGAATAATCTATGTGAAAGAAGAGGTACTGGGCCCTGAATTAGAATAAGATATATTACATGCTTTTATAATTATGTCAAAATGGATTCTATTGTCATGTATAACTAAAAAAGAATCATCTGTGTAATTCCACATTATGGTTATCTAAATGGTCATATTTTGATAGAGTTATATGCCTAGTTTTTCTTTGCTGAAGAATTTTAAAGTAAATGACTGAAATCAATCATATTTTACATAACATGCCTAAGTATCATCTCTAAAAAATGGCTTTTATGTAACCAGGTACTACTCTCAGATCTAATAAAATTAGCAATATTTCTTTAACATATAAATCCTAGGCTGAATTCAGTTCCAAGATTTGTCTGAAAATGTCTTCACACCTAGCCCATAGATTTTTTTTCCTAAGGTAGAGATAAACCATTGAAGATTTCTTAATGAAAGCACATTTTACAGAGATAATCTGGGAGTAGTTAATATGTAGTATGTATTGGAGAAGAAACACAAAAATAAAAAATTAATTCAGACTTTTTTGAAGAATGGCTTTGTACATTTTTGCTTCCAGCCTTTTAGACTTATGATTTGTTTTAATAACAAGTATGTGTAATTAAATGTTAATGTTATAACATGTGAGGCCACAAAGACAGACTAGGAAGGACAGATGGGAGAAATGCCTTGAGGGGAATAATTCTAGGTCTATTTCCCACTAAGAGTATTGCAAGATTAGGGTTGGAATAGGAAAGCCTATAAAAGATAGTAAAGTGTTGTTAAAATTTTAACCTGGTGGAGAATAAGACCAGTTGATAAGTTTGGATTGATGAAGAAGTGTGAAAAATTTTAAGGGAAACTTTCCTTGCCCTCTGTCTTTTAAAAAAAATATTAAAATTTTTATGCTTTAGGCCATACTTGGTATTACAAGAAAGAATTTGTAGGAATATAATACTTCCAAATATTTGTAAAGATAAATTCTGTGACATGTAAAACACCGTATATTATTGGATTTGTAAAATAATCCCAAAGGTTGAGGCAGGATTGTTCACAATAGAAAAAAGAAAAAGTCAATAAATGAATAAGTTGCTAGTGCTTCATCGGGGTGGACCACAAATTTTTGTTCACAAAAATTTCTTACATTCAAATTTATTCTCATATTGATTACTTTGAATAAGGACAACACCAAACGGTGGATATGCTTTCTGGTGGCCTTCTTATTTTCACTAAAAAAATCAATGGTATTCCAATGAATTAGAGGTCACTTTGAACCTCGGGAGGGTCAAATGTCTGAGGAGGAAAACTAGCTTGATGAGATGCCTTAGGATGCCCAAGATTTGTGAAGTATTTAAGATGGAAGGTGGGGGGGGGATTTCAATATGACAGAGTAAGTATAGGCTTTAAAAAAAACTCTATTTCTTTCTGGAAACCCATGAATAATAGCAGCAGCAGCAAAATGAAAACCAGGAGGAAAGCTCCATCTTCTTTAGAACAAAGAAATAGCAACATCCCTGAACCATAGCATCTAAAATGTACTTACCATGTCCTGTGCATACTGGATCAACAAGAGAGGACTCAGAGCAGCACAGACTACTGCAGACCTCAAGCAATGCAGGTCTCCTTAAATGTGATGGTCCCCCTAAACCATCCAGTGAGCCTTTGGTCAAGGGATGAAAGCAATAATGTCGGGGAAAATCTGCAGAGTTTTTTTTTTTTTTGGATATTCAGTTTAACATGGCAGAAATGCAGAGGAAGACACTGACAACCACCACTTTATCATCTTACTGCCTAACTTCCAGTTGTAGATCCTAGTTAATTGTGGAGAAGATAGTGATTTCAAGAGTGGAACACAGATGTAAGAATACCATGACCCTCTTGATTATTAGAAACTGGAGAAAGACTCAAATTAACACCAAGCCTTCTCTCAAACTCTTCCAACAATTTAAAGAGGAAAGAATACTTATAAATTCATTTTATGAGGCCAATTACCCTGATACCAAGATCAATCAAAGATACTATAAGAAAAGAAATATACAGGTGAATATTCTTGAAGAATATTGATTCAAAAATCCTTACCAAAAAATTAGAAATCCAGATTCAACAGCACATTAAAAAAATCATACTCCATGACCAGGTGAGACTTACTCTTGGAATACAAGGAAGGTTCAGCGTATAAAAATCAATCAGTGTATAAGTTGGCTGTTCTTGGAGAGACTGTCTGACTAGCATAGCCCTCCTTTACAGTAAGCAATAAATTCATCTATGCATTTTTATTTAAAAAATCAATCAGTCTAATACCCCATATTAATAGAAGTACAGACAAAGCTCTTATGACTCACTGACACAGAAAAGGCGTTTAATAACATTCAAATTATTTTCATTATAAAAACACTTAACATACTAGAAGGAAACTACCTCGACATAATGATGGCCATATTCGAAAAGCCTACAGGTAATGTACTCAAGATAAAAAACAAAAAAAACAATTTTCTTCTGAGATTAGGAAGAAGGCAAGGATGCCCAATATCACTACTTATATTCAAAATAGTACTGGAAGTCCTAGCCGGAAAAATTAAGCAAGAAAAGGAAAAGTACAACAGAACAGAAAAAGTAAAATTATCAAGCAGATGACATGATTTTATAAGTAGACAACTCAAGATTCCATAAAATATTACTGTTATAACTAATAAACAAGTTCATCAAAGTTATATACTACAAAATCAACACATAAAAGTCAGTTATATTTCTATATACTAGTGAACAACGCATATGGGAAATTAAGAAAMTAATCCCTTTTACAATAGTATCAAAAGTAATTACATAATTAAGCCTAGACTCAACCAAGGATGTAAAAGACTTCTTCACTGAAAGTTACAAAACATTACTGAAATAAACTAAAGACACAAGTAAATGGAAAGCAATCTCATGTTCATGGATTGGAAGACTCAATTATCCTTAAAATGGCTGTAATTCCCAAAGGGATCTACAGGTTTAGTGCCATTCCTATGAAAATATCAAAGGCAATTTTTTTAGAAATGGAAAAAGAAATCCTAAAATTTGTGTGGAACTTCAACCTCTTCCCCCATGCATCTGTTCCTTCATACCTATCTGGTTTTTTTTTTTCCTTCTTAGAAGTCACCAGCCATTAAATTAAGGGTGTACCCTTCTTCAATATGTCCTCACATCATTAACTTGAATATATCTRCAAAGACCCTATTTCCAAATAAGGTCGCATTCATAGATATCAGGAGTTAGGCTTATCTTTTTAGGGGACACTGTTAAACCCATAAAACTTAGCATATTATATCAAATGACTGTGATTAGTTTTTGTGTCTCAGGGTCTTAAGTTTCACAATTCGATCTATATATTTGAGGGTCATTGCTGATTTGTGTACATATCTGCATTATAAATTCATATACAAACATATACATACAAATACACATATGTATAAAGTTTTTCTTTTTTCCAGGTAAGAGTGAAACTGTAATTACAACGATAAGGCTTGTTTTTCTTTTTTACTTTGGCCACTCATTAGTACCTTCATTAGTTAGGAAAACATCATTTGAAAGCTAACCTTATTTCTTCTTTAAAACTGAATCCTGTAGTCTGTTTCTTTTCCTTATGTCCATGTGAGTCTTTGTCATTTCCCTTGAAACTTGACTGCTTGGAAAATTGTCTGGGTTACACAACTGAATTGTGCCATGTAAGGGTTTTGTGTTTCATTTTTAAAATCCTCTGTGACAGTTCTGCTCAATGGATTCTTGTCCAGGACACAGTGRGTGATAAATGGATGTCTTTTAGTTTGAGTTGAAGAATCTCCCTGTAAACTTGAAATGTGGGGGACAATGCTTTGCCCTGTTTCTCCAGTATTTCAGAGGTTGCAAATAATTGCAGTAGCTGCTCCGCTAGGCATTCAAGCTGAAAATGAGTAGCTGATATCCAAATTCATATATCATCTATTTTTCCATTAGTTTGGATAGTATTCATTTTAATAGTCATATTAGCTATCCTTATTAAAATAGATGATTTATTATTATTATGCATTTATAATGTTTAATAAGTACAAAAATATTTTAAATGAATAAAGGTTTTATGTTGCTTTCAGTGATCAAAACTTTCTTTATATTAACACTTTAAGTCATCATTAGATGAATATTTCTGTTATTTTTTTTTTCATATTTATTCAAATGAAGAAAGTGATCTTTTATTTTTTCAGGTACTGCATAAGCCGACCACAATATAAGACTTCATGTGGCATCTCCTCATTAATTTCTTGTTGGAATTTCTTATATAGCACAATGGGAGCTGGAAGGTAAGTATGCCACTTTATTGGTTTCTCCAATTCCAAATTTGAAATTGGTTAGGTTTTGGTTCTCTAATAGAAGGTGGGATAGGTTTTTCATAAATTAAGAAAAAACTGCTGAATCATATTATTAATCTTTTAACTTAAAATATATGCATGTCTTCAATAAAATAAAAACAAAGAATAGTGCTAGACTATGTGCAAGCCAGACATACGTATTAACATTGAGACAGATTTTTGTGTGTGATTGGAACTGTAAAGTGAAAGGCGGTGTTTCTCTTATAGTCTTCCACCTATTACCCAAGAAGAGGCTTTACATATTTTGGGCTTTCAACCCCCATTTGAAGATATCAGGTTTGGCCCTTTCACCGGAAACACAACACTCATGAGGTACAAAGCACTACTTCGAAGCAATCTGTTGTTTCTAGTTCTGCAATGTACTGATACTGTAGGTGTGTGTTAAACCATGTACTTTGATGCTAGTCTCTGACCGGTCATAGATATGTTGAGCTTGGGTTTGGCTTGAATTTCTCTAGAATTCAAACARTGGCCTTCCTTGTTAAAGAATTGGTGCTATAAGCAAATTTTCTTGTTATTTTCAGATGGTTTAGACAAATTAATGACCACTTCCATGTAAAAGGATGCTCCTATGTTCTATATAAGCCTCATGGGAAGAACAAAACAGCTGGAGAAACGGGTAGGTGAACATATACAAGATTTATACACATATGTGTATGTATACACACACACACACCTRCTTAAGCGTCCAATTCAAAGATTGGCTATTTGATTCATGGGACATTATGTAAATCCTCAACACAACCTGTCACTTTCATATCTGTTTATCCAAATGGAAAATCATGATAGTAATCTGAAGGGGACTCTTCAATATTCAGTTGAATGTTTACCTTTTCTGATATTTGCATGTAGAACTTTTAGAACTTTAAGATCTACCATAAACATGACTGTGACACACTGTTTGTATTATCTGGGTCCAGGCTATGTGCATGTGTGTGCTAGTGAAATACCTTTGGGAATAAGCATAGAATTGCAGTTCCTTTTCTTATAAGGGAATGAAAGGATTTAAGAATATCTGATGCCAGACCTGCATGATAACAACAGGACAACAGACTGTGAAAGTGACAAAGCTCTATTATAAAACTGTCTTGGTTACAACAGAGAAAAAAGTGGACTTGATTTTAAAGATTAGTTAGCCACTAATTAAGTTATTTGTATTATTGAACAATGTCCATTTGAAAACTATACATTAATCTTTTGACTTTACAAATCTGATAAATATAATTTCATGTTAAAGAAAAATGACTCTGACAGTTGTGAAATGGAAGGAAGACAACTCTCGATTGTCGCAGTAGGCTATTACACTAGGGAAGAGAGATTGGACTCAATCCAAAGACAACAAAGACAGCTGGGAACTCACAGTCAAGGAGCAGAGTCAAGGGTCAGTTACTAAGAGGAGACTTCAAGGTTAGGAGGATTCTTATCAAAACAGCATATCAGTCTCCCTGCTTAATGTAGACCAAGGGCTTAGACATCAAGGATGGGGTGATAAGGAGCTTGATCAACTACCAAGAGTGGAAGATTCTATTTAAGCTGCCTTAACAAGATTCTTGCAAAAACTGGACACAAACCCCAAGGTTGAGACTGGTTGAGAAGAGGGCTCAAGGATTGGTCTAGGAGAGAGCTGTTATCAATAGAGGTGTATGGTTTACCAAGGTCAGGGACTGAACATTGAGTAAGGTGCATTTCTGTTCACCTCTGTGGGGTTTATCAAGTTGGTTATGAAGTGGGCAACTTGGAGAGTATGTGTTGGTTTCTATGCATGCTTGTTTGTGACCTTGAAAAAAGTAACTTACTGTGTCCTTGTGTAAACCTTTTGTCTTTTGGTATTTGTACTCACTCTATTGGGCATGGTGAAGATGAAAGGGGACCTATTTGTGACTCACTGAGCACCTTGTATTGTGTGGAGTGAGGACTCCACAAAGCACTAGCTTCTATTATGACTGAGTTCTGTGCGTTCACCTGGGGCTTGTCTGTCCCTGTGGAAAAGACAGCTTGAAATGTTGTGTCAATTTTTTTTTTTTAATTTCTAGGCAGACTATTAACACATCCTTCTCAGTAATGAATAAGGCAATTAAAAAGTTTAAAAGGATATATTTTCCAGGTTGTTCATTTGTCTGGTTTGCTCTTGATACTGTCCATTGAGTTTGAGTGTTTTAATTTTTTTTTTCTATCATAGTTTTCATTCGAAAGCCCCTGATTCATTGAGCTTCCTGACTATTCAAAATAGGMTGCAGGCTGCAGTCTTGATTTGGCCTGTGGGTGGGAGCTTGCCAATCCTGACCTTAACTGATGATGCCTATATACCGCCACCTGACACTTGAGGGACTGGCAGATCTCTTGCCAGTCTCTTTGCGGGGCTTTGTCGGGCTTCTCTCTCTTACCTTCTTCTTCACAAAGTACAGATCGTGGTTAGCTCTTTGCACCCTGCTTATGGAAAGGCCTGTTGTGGAACACATGGRATGCAGTGTTTTCTTACTTTGACAGATTGCTATTTAGCTGCTCATCCTGGACTCAAGTTCGAGAAGGACTGTTTCTTCTGCTTGCGAGACGAGATCAAATTCCTCCATCCCCCAGAATATCACATTTTGTGTGTGACTCTGATAGAACTTTTGCTCCATGCCTAGGTTGTTCTTAAAAAATAGTTTCTTCCAGGGCTGGGGATGTAGCTCAAGYAGTAGCACGCTTGCCTGGCATGTGCGGGGCACTGGGTTCGATCCTCAGCACCACATAAAAATAAAAAATAAAGGTGTTGTGCCCACCGAAAACTAACTAAATAAATAAATATAAAAAAATAGTTTCTTCCAAAAAAGCCTGAGCTTCCTTGAGGCCAAAATCCATGTTCTTATCATTTATGCATTACCATCCTGATACTTTGGTGCTCATAAGCAGTAAATTTAATAAATCCTAGAATGAGGCAGTGAGGCAGGAGGAACTCAGGAGATGGGGCCAGGAAGCTTCTAGAAGAGAGTTTTGCTTTTTCTTCATCTAAAAATCTGGCCTTCTTCCTTTGGAAGTGCTCTTTGTCCTGACATAGGAAGGAGATACTTAGCTTCCTCTTTCTTCAGCAACCCTTCTTCTGGCTCTAGCCTGCTCTCCCTCCCCTCCCTCCCCAACACCTCAGCATCTGCACTCAAGTGCTAGCCCTGCCCATCTGCTATCCTTCTGCTCTGTCTTTGAATCTTCCTTGGAAGTTTTTCAGACGGCTAGTTATCTTTTCCTAAAGCCTGAAATTTACATTTAGCAGTGCCCTGGACATTGCCTTCTGTGTAATAAATGTTCAGAAAAAGGTTAAAACCTCTCAAAATCACTTCTAAACTGTTTCATGGGACTCTATGTATCTTTCTTAATGGAGCATGGACCAAAAGGTAGGAGTAGAAATAATCAGTGAGGGGCATGTCACACATACATGTAGGATGCAAGGAAAATCATGCTGTACACTTCCTGGGCTGTGTCCCAAGGCTGTGGTCTGAGTAGGATCCTGGGAGACACTGGATAAGGACCCTTACTCCTTTCATGTGCTTGCCTTTTGGGCTGCTGATCATAAGAGGATTTCATCAGAGCTTTTCACAGCTTTTGGCAGCATCAAGATGGAGTGGGAGAATGAATGAAAAGCTGGGTCAGTGAAATTAAGGAGAATCAAGGGAATCATGAACACTCAGAAAAACTAGAATATGAAAGAACATAGGATAGCAAAGAAGCTCTGGGTATGGAGGAAACATGAGTCATATTAAATTTAATCAAATTCTCAAAGAAAATATAAACCTTAATTAATAACATACTAAAAGGGCCCTGGATAAAGTTGATTCCCCAAGGAGCTGCTATTCTGGTATTTTATAAGAGTTTTGACCAAATATTCTGGACAACTTTAAGATTTTATACCATATTTTATTAGAAATTCTCACTTACAAGTATTTTGAAGTTGTATGCTTTTAGAAATTTTCCAGTAGTCTGGTACCTCCTAAGTTCTTCATGACAAATTTAAGTGTAATGATTTGATGGACATGCTGTCCAGTTATCTTAACAATCTCGGATGTGCAGGATGTGTGGTACTGGGTTGCACTGATTATTTTAACTTGTGTGTTTAAACTTCCTCCAACATACATCTAGTCTTTTTTCATTTGAGGAATGGGATAAACTACCCAATTTCCTTTTTTTTTTTTTTTTTTTGGCAGGGAGGTGAGGATCAGTGGTGGTTTCTGAAAATTTCTTTAAGTTTTAGTAAAATATTTTCCCACTTTTATTCTTATTTTCCTTTTCATTTTAGAACACTTGAATTGTTCCTGTTACCTTTTCTATGTGCATTTCCTGAAGGTTAATTAATCTGCTTACTGCCCTGAAACTCTGGTCTTCCTGAGAGAGTTTCACACTGTCACTGGTCCCACAGAAGTCCTGAACCATCTGGCCACTTTAGCCTGGATTCCTCTTAACTCTTACAGAGCTAAGTATCTGCATCTGTCATCTGGCATTTGGTATATGCTATCTTATAGTTAATCTTRTCAATCTGAGTGTTTGGCTCCTTGTCCATAGGGATGGTCCTGTATAGCCCTCTGATTCCATGTGTGATGCATGACCTTGAGCATGTTCCCTACAGCTTCTGATTGTATTCAGGGAGGAATAAGGCTCCGTAGTATGAGCATTTTTTTCTGATTTCTCTCACTGTAGAATAAATAATTACAGAGATAGGCTTTTCTTGATTGTGTCTTAAATATTCAGTAGTGAAAATCTTTGTCAGTTGGTGCTGCTTGCTTTTAAAATATAACCTGAAATGTTTCTTCTTTTTATGTTTAAATTATTTTTTATGGATACTTTTCACTTTGGGCTTGAGTTTTCCTGGTACTCTGCTTCTTTGACAATATTCCCTTGTGCTTGAGTACACGTTCATTTCCTGTGGGCCCTCAGTAAACTGAACTTACTCATGGAATAAAAGTGAAGTGTAGAGATTTTGATAAAATTTAACTGTTAATGTGAGTTGAAGTATTTTTTTCAGAGGTGTAATTAGTCTCAGTATTAGCCATCCATTCAGATAGCTTGGCTTAACCGCAATAATTTATACCAGGGAAATCCAGATTCATTTTTTTTTTTTATCAGCTGGCTTGGAAGTTTGACTTTTGTTCAGATGTCTACTTTTTGTTTTTCCAGTGGGTATTGCAGGTCATGACTTTGCCTAACAGAAAATACCAACCTCTTCCTCATCCTGACATAACCCACACATATCCTACCCATGGCCGGAACTCCAGTTCGCTGAGCATCCCTGCATACCCCAAGGGGAAAGTGCATTAATATCCATTTTCCTTGTCCACTGGTTTTCTCCAATTCATAATAAACACAATTCCAGATAAATCTCCTCACCTGCACGGTGCTTACTTCCCTTTCCTCCCTAGCAGCTCTTGGGTGCCTGCCTGTGGCACAAACCCCTGGTATCTTTCCAAATTGATGCAGATTGGCCTTCCACTGCTGTCCCATGTGTACCTGTGGTATTTAGAGCTGTCAAGAGGGTGAGGCCCTTGCAGGATGATGGGATGCTGCTGAATAACCGATCACAGTTCCAGAATCTCTTATCTTTTATATCGTAAAAATACATTCTAATAAATTCTTTTAGAGTTTGCTGGGGTTTTTGTATAGCTGATCAGTCTCTCTATGACAAGCTCATATTAAACAAATCTTTAAAATGTCAGATGTTAATGCACTAAGGTGAGACTCATTTTACCTCCTGGACCTGAATTCTCTTGTTGGCAGCTCAACACTGGCTTCTCTTGATGGTACAGCAAACCTGCTAATTCCTATAGTTTTAATCTCTTCTCTCTCCTCTGTAAGTTCATGACTCTGTTTCATGGTGGTTGCGCTGTCAATTAAGTTCCAGATTTTTTTAGATAATATACAGGTCTAGTCTGAACTTTGTTCTGGGTTTGGCTCCTGTCACTAACACATTCATGCCTTCTCATTCACAGAAGCACTCTCTTGGATGAAGACTGTAATGTATTAAATACTGTATTTACTGTCTTTTGTTTCAGAGGGTGATCTTTTTCTGGCTTTGTCCTGAAATTGTGGGGGTGTCCTACGGTAGGCTTCTTTCTACTATTGTACCTTCTGTTCTAAACCAGGAGACTTGCTGTTCCCTGACACATGCCTCCCACTCCTGTGGTTTTGTTTTCTCCTCCCACCCTTTCCTCTATGTGGGTTGTTGAAATCCTGCCACCTCATTAAGTTCCATCTTGAATGCCACATCTTCTTGATTCCTCAAACCCAATGTGCACTTTCTCCTTTGAATTCTATCTCTGTTTTGTGGTCCTGTCGTATTCCCCCTTCTATTAAAGTTACTTGTGTCATCTTCCCTATCGTTTCCTCGCAGTATCTGGTATATTTATAGAGTGCTCATGAATTGAGTTAAATTAAAACTTCCTCTTAACTTTAGACCAGTGACTCTCAAACTGTGATTTCTAGACCAACATTGGTGTCACCTGCTAACTTGTTAGAAATGCAGATTTCTAGGTCTCCACCATGGACCTGCTAGCTCAGCTGCTCCAAGGGTGGCACCAGCAGTGTGTCATTTGTCAAGCCCTTCATTCTCAGCTTTGAGAACCACTGATGCAGCCTTCCTAAGAGTTGGTATCCAGCCTCTTTATCAAGAACATGGCTTTCCATTTGTAGGAAATACCATCATTTCAAACTGTGTTTAGTTGCGTCCTGGGGATTCTGGACTGGTAGGGGAGAGGGTGGCACCTGCAGGCCTCCCAGTTTTTTTTTTTTTTCCTTAGCAGCTCTGCTTTTATTCCTTTAATGGACTAGTCTGCCATGTAAATTTTCTTTGAAGAAGGGGCTGCATCTTAAGAAAAGTTTGAAAATTGCCTATCCAAATTTGTTGGCATGAGGTTGGCAAACTACTGCCCCTGCTCACAGGGCCTGATGTTTCAATAAAGTTTTATTGGAACGCAGCTTCATCCATTGTCTCACACATGCCCATGCTGCTCTCAGGCCACAGTGGCAGAGCTGAGTTGTGTGAGTAGTGCCTGTGACCTGTAAGTCTAAGGTGTTTACTAGGTGGCCCTAGAAGGAAAGGTTTGCTGATCTCTAACTTAAGCCACACAGAATGATGTCACGTACCTCGAAGTAAGAAGAAAAACATCCCTGAGTGTCGTAAACTCATCAACATTCTAACATATTACATCATGTAGGTAGATATTCAACATATCATATATAATAAGCCCATAAACATCACTGCAGAGGAGAAAAACCACCTCCCATCTTCCAGAAAAGTACGTCACATCAGCAGACAAAATGATGTGAGTATTAAGGATAGCAGACTTTCTTACCTACCTCATTTGCTCATGACATTTTTTTTTTTTGCTCATGACATCTTGAATACATTTTAGGACATTAAATTATTGCTATTCACAATCACTGAACTTTTGTATTACATTTGAATTAAGAAAGAAGGAAAGTATGAAATACATAAAGATTTCCACTGGAAAAAAAAATTATACTGAAAGTTCTTTTGAAAAACATTTAAATTAGGGCTGGGGATGTGGCTCAAGCGGTAGCGCGCTCGCCTGGCATGCGTGTGGCCCGGGTTCGATCCTCAGCACCACATACCAACAAAGATGTTGTGTCCGCCGAGAACTAAAAAAAAGAAATAAATATTAAAAATTCTCTCTCTCTCTCTCTCTCTCTCCTCTCTCACTCTCTCTTAAAAAAAAAAAAACATTTAAATTATTTTGAAAACTTTTTATCAGTTTTGCAACCTTAAAAAGACTTAAAATGATTTTAGGACTTTTTCTAAGTCAGTTGTGTGTATAAATGTCTTTTATAATTATTGAGCTTATAAGATGGCTAAATCCACACATTTAGATTTATATACTATCCTGGAACCTATCTACAGTCAAGTTCAGTTTTGGAAATGAAATGTTGACTCTTTTCTGAACTTCAGTTCTTAAAATTCTTCATTTAGAGCTGTCCACGGGTATCAGTCTTTAGATCATCAGGGATAAACAAGCGAAACCCACAAAAAACTGACTATCATTTATCATTATGAAATAGTGATTGTGGTAGAAAAGATCCCTTAGCTGTGTAGGGATGCCCTGGTGGTAGAAATCTATACAGAAGGTCCAGATGAAGCTTTGGGGACTGGGGATGTGGTTCAGTAGTAGGGCACTTGTAGAGCATGGGAGACTCTGGGTTTAATCCCTAGAATTCCGCCCCCCTGCAAAAAAAAAAAAAAAAAAAAAGAGGAAGAAGAAAAAACAACTTTGGAGAAAGAATTTAAGCCAGAAACGTTATTGTCTTCATGGGCAGAGGAGATGTGGGAAGCGGACCTCTTGCTCCTCTCTCTAGTCATTGGCCTGCTGTTTTTAGTGGTCTTCAGCTATTTCAGGGCCCAGAAAATCGATCATTGTAACTGTAATTTGCAAGCTTTTATCTACTATTTTTAGGATTTCCAGTTTTAATGGGCTATTTGTTAATGAATAATTTAATTTCTTCCAGGAATGCAAGTTAATGAAGCCTCAGTTAATGGCTTTGGGTACTGAGTGCTGGTAAAAACTTGTTTCTTATGGTAATGCTTTTAAAATTGCTTGACAACTCTTATAGTTATGGGAAATAGAGGAGGAAGAATGGTTAGAAGAGGTTGTTGTCATGCTCCAGCCTGACTGAGGTTCTTACAAGGACAACTTTGTCTGTAACTTTTGAAGGAAGACTTGGAGAAAGAAAGTGTGCTATTGGGGGAAGTAGGCATTTTTGGAGCCTACTAATTACCTGGAATCTATCTTTATCTATCTATCTATCTATCTATATCTGTGATCTTTAATCTGGGATGAACATACTACAGCCATATTAGAATATATATCTTAATTTTAATCTAAATTAAAGATTTAACTTTTTGTCTCATTAGTATAAAAGTGTATGTATGCAGTGGATGAACAAATGTGATTAAACTGGGCATGGTAATTCAGAATTTTGAGTGATAGATGTGCACAACCAGAAAAGTTGAGATCATTGCTGTAGGCACAAGTTACTGGGTTTTATATAGGAATTAAATCTCATAGACAACTTTGTGTATTATTAGGTTTGGGTAAGCAAGGACATACTCTTCTATTCAATGTGTCTGAATGTCAATCTTAAAAAGTGAAACTGAAAATAAATTCATTAATCTTTTTGTACCTTTCAATATCTTCTCATTACCCCCAGCAATGTCAGTGTGTTCCAAGCAATGTCTTTTCTGTCTTTTGGTCCTAACTAGTTCATTGTATAAAGCATGACCACTGCTTTATGGGCCCTCAGTGTGTTTGGTTCTGTTTTGGTAGCTTCAGGAGCCTTGTTGAAGTTAACGCGTGGATTGAAAGATGAGTCACTGGCTTATATCTATCATTGCCAAAATCATTATTTTTGTCCAATTGGCTTTGAAGCAACTCCCATTAAAGCGAATAAGGCCTTCAGGTAAGCGTTTGTGAATTTTATCTGGGTACTTTGACAGGAAAATTGTGTTGTAGAAAGTGTTTTAAGGAATATTAAAAAATATTGTAGGTCTCCTAGTGTTGAGAGCCACAGCTGAAGGGGCCCCAGCAAACTTCCAGCTGATTGGCTCACAGCGACCCCAGCAAACTTCCAGCTGATTGGCTCACCATGGCCCCAGCAAACTTCCAGCTGCCAGCTGATTGGCTCCTCTGCGGTGATGTTCATTGGGCTGTTTCCCAGCCCTTCAGACCACGGAGCTGCTCATTGGGGGACTCTTTTGGCTCCGCCCAAGCGACCGAGCCAATYGCCTCAAGAGCAGGAGGAGTGGGGGGTTGAGAGGCTCCTGGGAAGTGGGTGGTGGCAGTTGGGCTCTGAGGGAATTCCTGAAGAGCTCCTGTGGTGTGGCATGTGTTCTAAAAATAAAGTTAGTTTCTGCTTGATAAGTGGCTCGTGAATTGTGCCCAGCCAGACTTCGGCATCCTAGAAATTGAAAACTTAGACTGTTCTTTAAAGATTATATATAGCTTTTTTGCAGAATTGTATTTAATCTTAGTTTAACACATATCCATTTYACTGTTGTACAGCCATTATAAGAGAAAGTCATTTGAAGACTCACTCTTATGTCTCTTTTAAAATAGTTCCAAAGGACTTTCCATACTGTATCTCTGTTTCCTCATCCAGTGTCCCACATGAACAATGTATTAAGAGGATTGCTACAGTTCAGTAAAGTGAAAAGCATCTTCCATCTTCGAGTGAAAACCATGGGATTTTATCTTCCCTTCTTCACCTGAAAAACATGCAGTGTATSAGGGTTCTCCCTTTGTCTTGGTTGCAGGGAAACTCAGAGCCCATTGTTATTTCTAATGTCAGGAACTATATTACCTTAATGGTTATATTTGCTTCTTTCTTTTATTAAAGAAAGACCATTCCAGATCTGTTTGAGTTAGAATTTCCAGGGATATGTCTAGGAAATCAGTGTAGTTAAAAGTTGCATTAGCGCATCTTTGTTTTAGGCTTGTAATTTTATCGCACCTGTTGAAATTTCTTGGTTGCATTGTGAGAGGAGAAGAGAGATTGAAGAATGCTTGTAGCAGGCTAGGACTTTTTTTTCCTTCTAGGATTTGAAGATGATATGTAAAATCCTTGAACCCTAGATTTTGAGTAGGGAATTAAGGCTTACATTTAATTTGTAGGTTGTCTTTAATGGCCTTCAGAAGTTTGCCCAAGCTTAAAACCTAATATCCATTCTAGATTAATGAACGCCGTCTTTCAGTGCATTTTAGCAGACCCTTTGATATATAGTTGAGGCAGTGTACTTGAGGGGGTGAATGACATTTATTACGCTTACCATAAATGTGTTTTATATTTAGCAGGGGTCCTCTCTCACCACAGGAAGTAGAATATTGGATCTTAATTGGAGAATCAAGTAGAAAACATCCTGCCATCCACTGTAAAAAGTATGTTGACTTTCCTGTTTTTTTCTTCTTTAATGGAGATAAGATTTAGATGTCATAAAAAGCATGGACCTCAATTGTGTAAATTAGATGAGTTATGATAAGTTTATCATCCCATGGAGACGTGGTCCATTTTCATTGTTATAGAAAGTACCATCATTTTCTATTCTTGTCTTTTCCCACAGGCAACCTGAGTTGAGATCTCTTCATCATATTTTTTTCTTGGGCCTCTTCTTAAATTTCATATAAATGAAATGATACAAAATTCTTCTGTGTCTGCTTCTTCATTTATGAAACATATCTAGAACCTATATTATTCTATAAAAATTTCAGAATTTGTTGATTCCTACTTAAAAAACTTGTTGAGATTTTGATTAGGATAAAATCCATAGAATTCATAGTTTAGTTTGAGGAAAACTGACATCTTAACAATATGAAATCTTCCAATCTGTGAACGTGGAATATCTCTACTTAATTAAACTTTAATTTCTCTCAGCAGTRTTGTGTATTTTTTAATAGTCATATGTGTCATTTGTTAAATTGCTTCCCAAGTGCTCTATATTTTTTGATGCTATTGTAAATTAACTTTTTAAAAATTAATTTTGTCATTATTTGCTGGTCCTACACAAATAAATAACTATGTAGACCTTGAATCTTATATATTTAACAAGTTCACTTATTAACTTTAGGAATTGTTCTGTAAGGCTCTTGGATTTTCTGCACAATCGTGTTGTTTATTAATGGAGAAATGTTATCTTTTAATTCTTTTAAAAATTTAGCCAGGCATATGGCCTGTGCCTTGAGGCCAGACTGGGCAACATGGCAAGACTCCATTTCAAAGAAAGTTGATTATAATTCCAAAGAAATAAGACATGTTCCTGCCTTCGCCTGAAGGTTGTTATCTAATATGCTGACATATATTTATTTTGTAGGAAAAGTAACTTGTTGTAAACTATGAACCTTGACAATAAATACTTGGATAAACACAATTGTCATAAAACAGGAAGTTTTTAAAGCTTAGAATATGAAATAATACTGACAAGAATTATTGCCAATTATTGTTTTGTTGATATTGTAGTTACTTGGTCTTGTGAAAGAATATTATGGACCTAAAGAAAGCTGTGTTGTATTCTTTCTTTTTAACTATAGATGGGCGGATATTGTTACCGATCTAAACACTCAAAATCCAGAATACCTAGATATTCGGCATTTAGAGAGAGGGCTGCAGTTTCGAAAAACAAAGAAGGTAAGAAAAACACTATTGCATTTGAAGGCATTTTTCCAAATAACAAAAATGCAGTGTTTTAACTCAGCATTCTTTAGGTGGTAAATAATAGAAAGTTAGTTCAGACCATATTGGACAGAAAATTATTTTAAAGACCTAGGGCTGTGTTTACAACTCAAGGACAGAGAAGAGCCTGGAGTCACCAGGGAATGGCACTCAGTATAGGAGTGATAGCAGGACCCACGTAGCTAGTAGTCACTCTTATGGAGGTCGTGGTTTTCTTAGCTCTCATTTCCTCTGATTATTTCTTGAAGATCATCATCTTTCAATTCATGTCCCCCTTTCAGATGACCAGTCTAGACTGAGACTGACCTGCCTTGGTCTAGTTCCATCATCTTGGCTGAACTAGGACCAAATTAATTATGATCATGGGTCAGAGCCATGTGTTCAACAAGGCTGAGAGGGAAGCTCTCAGAGAAAAGTAGATTGCAGTATGGATTTGCGTAAACATCCCTGATGTAATCCTATAATGTAAGAGCACATGAAGAGTGGGAGAGGAAGACAGATGATCTTGGTGTTTGAATTAGGCAGAAGAGGCAGCGACAGTGTGTGTAGAGAGGCACCTGGGGTGGGAGAGGTGTTTTGGCTCCTGTGGGCTTTGTTTTGTAAAGACAGTGTCAGGAATGATGCATAGGATAGTGTGCTCTGGTGTCTGACCAGAGAAGTACTGTTTTTAGGAATGTGTAAGGGCAAAACAACAACAAACATTGGGACCCACAAATTTTTATAATTTACTTTTCTATATTTTCTTGACCTGCCTTTTTTTTTTCTCTTTTCAGGTTGGGGGGAATTTGCACTGCCTCATAGCATTCCAGAGACTTCATTGGCAAAGATTTGGGCTTTGGAACTTTCCATTTGGAACCATCAGACAAGACTCACAACCTCCAGCACATGCCCAGGGCATTGCCAAATCTGAGAGTGAAGACAATATCTCCAAGAAGCAGCATGGGCGTCTGGGCCGGTCCTTCAGTGCTAGTTTCCATCAGGACTCATCATGGAAAAAGATGTCCAGCATCCATGAGAGAAGGAACAGTGGCTACCAGGGCTACAGCGACTAYGATGGGGATGAGTGACCCTGCTGGGCTCTCCGCATGGTGTCATCCACACAGCTTACCTACAGGACTGCAATAAGATAGTGGAAGATTGCAACGTCGACATTAATAGAACAGATCTTGTGGTACAAAGCATAACCTTGTAGTTCTTAGTAAATAAGCTTATATATGATTATCATGGGTGGTTTCAGATGTATAAGCAGATAAGCACAGATTACTGCCCTTTTAAAATTAAGAGTATGTAAACAATCTGGACAAAAAGTTTCATAAAATCCCCAAATTTACAACTATTTCTAAACAGAAACACAAATTCACTTAACAGCATCAAGATTTGAAATACTTAAGCATGAAGTGATTTATGACTCGATCCCTAGATAATTTGTTACAGATAGTTTTATTCCTAAGATGAAGATGTAAAGCATTTGTCTACCCTTCAAAAATGGGGGCTGCCAATTTCTAGGTTTTGCTCATGGTTAAAACTCATTTAAAATTATTTTGAGTCCAGTACTTCTTTCACTAATAGCAGTATTTTGCTTGCCTCATTTGTCTCCTGATTAACTGTCTCAGGATTCTCAATAAAGAGGCAAAAGAGGAAAGACTCAAAAAACCTGGTCTTTTTCTATTGGTGTAAAGGGTGACTTAGTGCATTGATTCCTTCTTGACTTTCCTGTTAGTATCAAAAATTGACAAGAACCTTAGGTTTTGAAGACTTCTGTAAGTCTAGAATAAACCTGGCTTAGTGATAGAATAGAAGAACAGTGGCATCTGAAGTTTCTGTACCCAAGGTACCTTGCAGGGAGATTTTCTGATACTTGACTGGTCCCTGGAATGGCATCGTATGTTAATACTGGCTTTGAAGATGCATCAAGAATGCCCAGGTCACTCAGAGGGCACTCTCCACATTCTAAACTTGGAGCCGTTTCTTTTTTTGATCCAATTATCTTTTTGAAGTGAGTTAAATATTTTGGAAGTGTGGATTTCATGTATTTGAGCTCCTCTCTAGTTGCTGTCAGTTCTTCTGCTGCCAACCTGTGACTCACAAACAACTAGGATCTCTTGTTCTTTCATTTCAGGGGTTTGTTCCAGGACTTACAACAGTAGCTTGGTGATTACAAGGTGCTGGATATGTTGGTAACCACATTGCAATACACCTCAAGGAGAGGGTTCCGACTTTTATTTTTAAAATAGTTTCATTTTTTTCTCTTGAATTTTATATCCATTTGTCCACATACACATGTCTAGCCTACAGAAAGGGATATATATTATGAAATGGTCATTTTTCTGAAGAGAATATTTTGCTTGAAATGCAAAGGACTGAAAGATTTGTAGGTTGTTGATTTTGTTACTTCATACTGGAACTTTTAAAAGGTTTTCATCAAATAAAATTTTGTTTTCTACTTTTAATCATGTGTTATCAAACTTTTGTTTTAGATAAAAGAATACCCTTATAACTTTAATGTACATGATAATTTGTCTGTTCTGCCTAACTAGTGTGTTATAGGAAACCATCCTGAATCTTATTACTTTTGTAATCAATGAAATAATATGCATTATGATGACTATAATTTTAGATGTATATATGACTTTATAATAGAAAAATGGAAAATGTGATTCTTATATTTTTTCAAACATGGTTGAATATAGGCTCTTTCATATAGTTCAACTGAATATTTTAGAGAAGAGGTAGGTTGAAAGAGCAAAGAGGAGAAGAAAGGAGAAAAATGGAAAGTAAAAGAAGACATTAAAGAACAAGKTGATGCCTAGGAAATTAGAGTTTATGCAGTCTGATACTAATCAATAATTTTTATAATAGTCTTGATACATGTGATCACTTAATAACTTGGTTTACAAGTCTAGTTTGAGTGCCATTACCTCCTAGGCGTTTCACTTTAGAACTGTGATCTCAAAACTATCCTAAAAAAGTTATAGCACTCCCATTTTGCTGGCAGGAACTGAGGCRGTCATGAGTGAAGAAACCTGTCTAGCACAACAGAGTGTCTTGGTATGCTACAGCTACCATAGAAAAATACCACAGATTGTGTGGTTTAAAAAATAGAAACTTGTTTTCTCACACTTGTGGAGTCCAGAAGTCCAAGACAAGTTCTTGGCAGGTTTGGTGTCTTCTCAAGCCTTTCTTCAACTTGTAGACCACCACCTTACTGTGTTCATTGGCTTTTCGTGTGTGTGTGTGTGTGTGTGTGTGTGTGTAGGGCATCCCTCTAGAGCATCAAATTTGATAAGGGGTTAACATAAAGGCTTCATTCACCTCTTATTTTTCAATGATGCTGGTGATCAAACTTAGGGCCTTGTACTTGCTAAGCAAGTGCTCTACCACTGAGTGATCCACCAAGTCCCTAATACCCTCATTTTAACAATTACCCTTTAAAGATCTGATCTTGAAATAGAGCCAAATTTTGATGTACTGGAGGTTAGGGCTTCAACATATGTATTTTGTAGGACAATTCAGCCCGTATCACAGTTTTTACATGGCTTACATGAGATCTGAACTAACATTTGCCTGACCTCTAGGAAATATTTTTCTACAGGGTGCAAGGATGGAGAGTTTTAGACCAGGGACTTGAGAGATCATTTAGGCAGCATTTATGAATGCCTACTATGAGTAGAAGTGGGGGGTGAAAGTCAGCATGCTAGTTCTTGGTTTCATTAAGTTAATAGTCTTCTGTGGTTTGGGGGCAAAAATTAAATATGTAATTATACTACCCTCAGTTAAAAAAAAAAAAAAACTCTGAACAATTTCTGGGTACTACTTTACCCACGGAGGAAATGTGAAAAGCACTTTGTAAGCTTATTCCTGATGGAAAATTGTAAGTCAACTTAACATGGCTACTATGAACTAAGTTTGATCACAAATGGTTTTGCTAAAAACTGGTTTCTGATATTTTTAAGAAGTTACCTGCTCTTTTAAACCAACTTTTTTCACTGGATTAGAATCTCAATACATCACTTAAATTTGAACAAATGCGAACGATAATACTCTCACTTGATAGCTAGTGCTAAAAGCATTGCACACATCACCTTTTATCTTCTCCAAGTCTGCAAGGCTGCTTCTGTTACGCTGTTTACTGATGATGAATCCTTGCTTCCCCAGTGCTGAAGTATAACACCAGAGAAGCACGCCAAGGCAAGTTTAGAGTGTAAAGTAAAAGCTATATATATATATATATATATATTTAGTTTTAGGTGGATACAATATTTTTATGTGGTGCTGAGAATCGAACCCAGTGCCTCATGCATGCTAGGCGAATGCACTGCCACTTGAGCCACATTCCCCAGCCCCATAAAAGCTTTATTAAAGGACAGCAGAAAAGACTTCTCCCGCAGGAAGAAGGGAACCTAAGAGGTGGAATCTGTGGAAGGGTGATGTCTTCCCCTTTTGATAGCTAAGGTCTTCTTTCAGCTTTCCCAGGCAGGAGACAGGAGGGCTGAAGGAGTACTATGGGTAGGAAGGACTTTTGGATTAGCATCTCCGTGTTTGTTGGGAGCTGCTTCATTAACATTTCCTTGGGATGGGCTCTGGGCCTTGGGGACATTTTCAATACCCCTTTTCCTGGACTCTATTCTCAATATGGCCTTCATTCTCCATATTGACCAAACTACACTAACTACCTATCTGTAAATCTAGCTTCACTTTTATGCTCTGTGTACATCTTTAGATAAAAATTCTTAACAAATACAATCTCAGCAACTTATTAATGAGGTACAGTCATGATTTGAATGTTGGCATGAGGGCTGGAGCGCCAGACTTTCTTGGAGCTACTCCGCCAATTCATTTCTTGCCATTTCTGGCCACAAACAGTGGAATTCTAAGTTTAAGACGCTGGGTGAAGCTTTGAACTCTACTTCTCTCTAGTTACTACACGCTATTGTACAAATCCTGCCCCAAAACACCACAACCACATGGATTCTGCACAACTGGAGGCTCACTGGGGGAGAAACGGGTGCTGAAAAATCACATAAAGTCGCCACCCGCAAAAACAGTTTTGTGGCCACATTTGAAGACCATGGCACCCAAGAGAGCACCTAGACCCAAACACTGGGGCGGAAACGCTCCCTCGCTTCCGGAGTGCAGTGGACGCAGTAAATTGACGTCATGGACGAGGGCGGGACTTCCGCCCCACGCATTCTGTGAGAAGGAAGCTGAGAAGGCACCATTTCTTGTGAAATTACAGACCCACCCAAGCACAGCTAGCAGAATCCGAGTTATGCCTTCTGTCGTTTGTCACGTCGTCTCTGGTCGCCTACCCCGGTCTTCCATCGGAATGCAAACATTTGGGATAAAGTCCTGACAAGTCAAGGCCCTGCTCTACGCCAACGCGAACCGTTCCCCGACCGCTCTCTTCCGGGAGGAGGTGTCAGCCGCCAGGAAGTGTTCTGGCGTGGGTTCCCCTTCCTGGTGCGCTCTCAGGCCAGTTCCCCGGGAAACGTGGGCTTTCGAATGGTTTTCCGCTCCTGAGTGGCAGCTGGCTCCCTGGGTTCCGGGAGGTGGCGTCACCTGACTTGTAGAAGAGCTGGAGTAACAGGCCGACCCCGGACGCGCCTGCCCCATGGGAGTCCAGGGGCTCTGGAAGCTGCTGGAGTGCTCGGGGCGGCAGGTCAGCCCCGAGGCCCTGGAGGGGAAAGTCCTCGCTGTGGGTATCCTTCGCTCTCGGTGGCTCTGCTGCCAAGTGCAGGTGAACTTGGCGAAGTTTCTGCAGATCTAAAGTGGTGTCGTGGGTGGGAGGTCGGCRTGGCGCATCCCACCCCTTCGCGTCTTCTCCTCTTCGGAGTCTAGTTCCGTTCGCGTTACTGAAGGAGGAGGCGTGTGCGACCAGGTGGTCTGACCCTTTTGTTTTGAATCGGCGGCTCCTTAAGTCAGGGTGTTTGGAAGCAGGAGTCCCTGTTACMACATTGGAAGAGTTTTCGGAAGTGCGCAGTGAACGCTTTCCCTCCCACTCCCCGTGACAGTGGCTTGTGTGCATATTTGGCTGATGTCGTGTCTTTGGAATTTTTGATTTTTTTTTTCATTATGAAAACGTGATGCTGGTTTTACGATTTGGACCCTTGTGTTCGCTCAGTAGTGTGGCCTTGATCCCGTACCTGTTCCCTCCCCGGAGCCGCGGAGACCTTAGACCAGTGTCCTCCTGGAGGACCGGGAAGAAGCCCTTGTATGAAGAGGAACGCTGATGACTTTAAGAACATAATGAGATAATCACCTCGTTTTCCCTAGTGGATAATATTTAAATACATCCGCATTGAAGGCTCAGCTTAAAAGCTTTTGTTCAGGGTCCCTTGAGTTGGGGAGAAGGAAGTTTTTTTTGTTTTAAAGCAGCCGCGCTCTGCTGCCCCCCAGTGGTTTCTCGGTGTAAGTGCATTCTGAAGATGGCCTACGAGTGGATGAAAAGATGGTTTTCGCTGTCAGGCACCCT